AATCCCAATTATAACCAAACTTTAATTGTAGCGGTCGTGTTTTGAATGATCATTCGCATCTCAATTATTTATATTTCTCAAATAATAAGCTCTGAAACATAAGGAATTCTTAACCGCTAATTAGGCAAATTTATATTGTGACACAAAGGAAGAACCACGAAGAATTCTTGCTTGACACATTTGTATATGACAAAAACTAGGTTTTATTTTTGTAATTCGCCAAAATCGGCTGTTTGCAGTGAAAGAGAAGAAATAATATTGAAATTGTAAGAATCGTTATCCGTGCACGACCACCTTGGGGGCGAATACGGCCCATGCTTAACCGCTGTGTCTGGACCAGACGCGGGCCAGATGGCCGGTACGGCAACGCCCGCCTTCGGGAAGGAGGGGGGGCCTCCACGGCGCGCCATTACGGCCGAGGCAAAGCCACGGAATTCCGCATGCTCCGTTTCCTCTCCTGAAAGGCCAGCGATTTGAGCACTTCATATCCCTGATTTCACGTGGGAATCGTCCGAGTAAACATGTGTATTTTTGCTGGTGAAAATATGGCACCCAGTAGTTACAAAGCGTGGCCGGCATATCAGATGACGAAATGCCGCAGTGGCTTCTTCTCGCATAAAGCAACGCTAGGATGAAATTAGAGTTGCCGTAGGCATGTAACATGTTTTGCAAATGGCAGTTTGAATGGCCTCAAAAGAAGGAACAAATTGCCTTACGGATGCCCACACAAGTCATGACAACAGTTTGCCAGGATGAAGTTTTTCAACAGAGAGTTTCCGTTTCGACCAGTCATTTGTCGTTCTTTTCGGTTTTAACTACTTTCTTGTTTTGGACCAACTCTTTTCTACCAAATCGCAAACTACTTAAAGAAGGGAAAGTGGCAGACATAAGCAATATAAGAACGGATCATTCGAACAGATTAGGAAAGGCGCTATAGGCATTGAGAGGGGTGATCAACATTCGATACGGGGCGGGAAATCGTCGGCAATCAGCCGCCGATGACTCCGGCCCATCCCCGCACCGTCCTGTAGCGAAAAAGGCCGGTCAGATTTCACCTCCACTTAGTGCACGGTAAACACACACACACGGACACACATCAAGACATCGCGGTCCTCTCTCCTCTATGCATGGTGTCGTCAACTATAGAAAGTGTAGAATCAGTCACTGTTTCATGAAGAGGTGCTACTTTGGGTCAAACAAAAGCCAGATAAAGACTTCCAATGGGCTTAATATCAAATCAAAAACAGGGTTAATTCCTGAGAGAAAATTGAATTGCTCCTTTTGCAATACCAAGAATACTAACAGTACAACCACAATATTCGTTTTTGTCTGGGATTCGGATCATTACAAACAAAACAAAAAGAAAACAATACAAAAATGGAAAAAGCATAGAAAACAATCTTGAAGAAATTAAACTATCCTATTTAAAGACCAAATGGTCCTGCAGGCAAAGGTACTTTAAGAGGATTAGAACAATTAATAAAACATTCATAACATATGGGAAGATTCCTGTATCTTAAACAATCTCTGAGGCCAGATAATGAATCTCGAATGAACCTTTTGCATGATGACAAGTCACGCCCTCAAAGCCACTGAAATAGTATTGATTGTCATGTGTCACCACTTACACCCTCCTCGTATTCTGATTAGTCAAGCTGTCAAACCGTAGTGCATGCTCGGAAACTCATGCCTACTCGCGCACATGGAGATATTCAAATTCGCTGACCCCGAATCAAAGGTTATACAAAACAATGGCCGTTATCAGCGACCGGGGCACTGTTCATAACTCGCCACTAAGAAGTAGATTTTCGAGGTAGTGCTTATTTTCACGGAACAGCCGTTAGATGTCCCATTTGACTGGCACGCGCTCTTGGACGGATGTATCTTTGACTCCGGCTCACGGTGAGGGCCTGCTCAGGGTTCGGCTGTATCAGTTTTCAAATTATGACCGTGTTATTTATATAGGGATGTCCTTTGGCAGTCAATTGCTTGCGACAAGTGGCACTTAGGCCGAGGGTAGATTGGTTACCAAACGAGAGTGATGGGCAGGTCGGCAGTGGCTATTTGGAACACAATACAAGTTGAAAGACGGAACAGAAAAAAGGCATGCAGGTATTCAACATAAAGACAAACCAGGTTTTCGTAAATGGATAGACCTAAGAAAAAAGCTGGGGTTAGTACTGCACTCTGGATCCGGAGTACCATCCAAACTGTCAAGGTCGTCACATCACGACATTCTGCGACATGGAACGACGACATGTCGACATCCTAAAACTCATCCCGTGGTGAAACATCTCAAGATGTCGACATCTAACTTTCAAAATGTCGTCATTCTGAGAAAATATATGCCAAAGTCTTATGACAAATCCACTTAGCAAATGGATATACCCTGGTGGGTGCATGCACAGTAAAGTGATGATCGTTTGAAAGTTGCGATGAAGGGTTCAGGAACACCACGAAAGGCGTTTACGCTGCTGTCAAAAAAATGTCTAAAATTACTGGACAAGTTGAAGTGACGCGTTACGAACTCGACAGCCCTGCGATGGATGATTGTATTGGAGCCTTGAAGCGACAAGCGAGGGGCTGTCAAGGGGGACCACTGACGTATCGACGAGAGGCTACAGCAACTACGTACTGGCATACCATGAAAGCACACGCTTGCACGAAAACAAATTGCTGTTGTATACTGTAATGGCTATATTCAAGCACGGACGAAAGTATCTTGGGAATGAAAGCTAGAGGGATTTTGATAAAAAACACGTGCTTTGAGAGGAAACTACTCAATCAATACAGATGCCTCACTGAAGAACAACATCTTATATCAAGTATTTCACCGAAATGGAGGGCACTTCATCGAGAAATTTTCGTTTCTGGTGGCTCTAGAAGTAAACAACGACAAGAGTTTTCTTAGGTATTTTGCCATGGCCCAGGGGCACCACATCGGCTCTTCCCGTTTATTGGTTTCTGGGTGGCAAAGTTGGCCAACTTCCCCTTGATTGTATAAAAATGGACACAATGAATCCCGCCCTCCTGCGACGCTGACATTCTTCCTATATAGGCGCGTCGCAAATGCCTTTCCATTCAAATATTCGAAAATTGAGAAATGTCAGACTCGGGGATTCTTGCTCGTCCACTGAGGCGGTCTTCCACCGGCATGCAGTTGACCGGGGCGAATCCGGCACCCTTATCCTTCAGATGTTTTTTTCCAAGCGAGAAAAAAGTTCTCAACTTTTTTCACCCCTTAAATTCACAGACAAACATTTGCCACAAAAATATACCCAACTCGCATTTGAGGCTCGTGCGAGCCCACTGACTGTAAAAGCTATCTAGAAACTATCCAGTGTCTTGGCATACTTCGCTTGGTCTTGGGCTCAGTTGCTAATGACTCTTATGAGAATCGAGACTCCCAAGAAGACTAACATCCTTACCACTCGCGCGTGTTGGTTGAGCGAAAATGAGACAGAAACAAAATTATTCACCATAATCCTTTAAAGTACAACAATTAAGGAAAATGTGCAAGCTCTAACGTTCTGCGTATAATTCACACAGTATTTACCGTATTCGAGGGCCCATATGACCTTTATACTGCATGTAAGGCTACCATCAGTTGTTAGCAAGACAAGTTCACCTTTTCACGATCGAAGTGTCAGATTGATTAGTACATGCCGTGTGTATGCTGTGCAGGTAGCGTATACACAGCATATAGTCGTTGGAAACATTACAAAGGAAGGGAAGTTTCCACTCAATTTCGTTTGCTCACAGCGTTTTTGTCAGAGATTTACCAAACACAATTCCGGACCTCTGAGAGTCAAACAAGATATTCAGAATGAGGTTTGTGAAAGCGCGCGAACTGAACGTGCAGCGCTAATTTGAAAGACCATTTCTGTCCATGAAATGAACAACGTTTGCAAATTGAATCAAGGGGGTTACGAGTACTAAGGAGAAAAAATTTTAAATCATAAACATTTTGTACTTATCAGATGCTGGTTACACGTACGAGGTTTCTATCTTGAACTCCCTTTGTTTTGATTAAGGCTCTACACAAGCCAGCCATGATTAAAACTTCCAACTTGAATTACCGGTATATGAATGGTATCTACTTTCAATGACAAGGTATGTTTTTTCTGGCCACACAAAAGTTTTAAAAGCACTTGATAATTCTCAAATAGAGGCATTTCCAACAACGAGCCAGCCAAAACCCCTGGTAACATGACACGCACGACTTATCCTCCGAGTCTATACCAAACGCTGGTGGGGGTCGGCAGTGTTTTTGACAATGGCCATTTTGGCAATTCTGGAGGGGGGGCTAAGGGGCAGTGATCTCGCAAAACAAGGGAGGATTGTGGCTTTAACTCCCTAAGCTGCTGGCTAGATCTTCACTGGCTTGGCAAATCAAAACACGTAGTTACATGCAAGGAATAGCCAAACCACTACCCAAAAAATGACCCTAACAGCAATATCCATCACAAAGCCTGCCTGGAATAATATTTCGCAAATTCAGTTTGGCGGGTTGCTAGATTGTACAGCGACAATTTCTCTTTTTATCAGGAAAAAAGAGCTATCAAAATAAGCATTGACTTGAGATGTTTGGAAAATTTCTCAAAGCTTAAGAAACTACGACACAATACCGTTGAGAAAGAGCGTACGATTTAAAGATTTAAATTTAAAGTGTATGTGAGTGAAACTCCCTTGTAATAAACGTAATTTTGACAATGTTGAAAAGAATGAAAGGCACACCCACATTAAATCCAGGGGTCCTGAAGAACGTGTAGCGAAATGGTAGAGAATGGATCTTTTGTGCAAGGTTGGCTGGCTTACCTATAGAAGATTTCCAATTTGAACGCGCACTTTCTTGGGCCATTCAAGCCTAACATTAGATACATTAACGCTTATCACGTTTTTCCCCTTTAGTTCTGTACACCGAATGCACTAAACATTTTTAAAGCCCTTGCTGATTCCGAATGCTGGCATTTTCAGGAGCGGACGCCGCACACAGCAGAATGGACGCAGGATTGCTAATCCGTGTCTACCAAACGTTGATCGGGATCGTTGGTGTCGTTGGCAATGGGCTCGTTTGTCTTGTCATCTACCGTGTCTCCTCCATGCACACCACGACCAATGCTTTCATCTTCAACCAGGCCGCAATCGACTTGCTCGGGTCTCTAGTCATGGCCGTACGGAGCAACATGCCCGCTCTCCCCGTTCCCGTTCCTGGTGGTATAGTCGGCTACCTTCTCTGCAAGATTTACAATGCCTACGCAGTTCAGTTTTCGTTGTTTGATGCATCGACATATAACCTAATGACAGTCACATTGGAGCGCTATGTAGCCATCGTCTATCCTTACACTTACCCTAGAATCTTCGGAAAGCGCAAAGCAGTGGCAGCATTTCTAATAGCTGGATGGGTTCTTGGATTCGTCGTGTCTTGCACGGCCGCCGCTGTGATTAACTACCATCACAATGGGTACTGCGCTCGGCAGACTGGCTCGGGCGCTTTGGGTGTAGTTGTGGCCATGGTGAATTTCTTCATCCCTTCGCTGGTGATGCTGGTATCGTACATACACATCACAGTCGTCCTCAAGAGAAGCGCCGACCAAGTGGCTCCCGGTCTGGCGACACTGACCAGACCTGCTTCTGACCAACAGAACCAAGATGGAACAACAAGCAACGGCACCGCAGCAAGCGCCACGCAGCAAGAGACCCAGAGAGAGTCCCTCCTCCGGGCGAGGCGCAACACCTTCAAGACTCTCTTGTTGGTCTTTGTGGTTTTTGTCCTGTGCTGGCTTCCCCATTCCACCATCTTCCTGGTTTTTGACTTAGGAGGTGGTGTTCATTTCAGTCCTGTGCTGTTCTTTTTCGGAGCTGTTACCCTCTCGGCAAATGTTTGCGTCAACCCGTTCATCTACGCCGTCAAATATAAACAGTTCAGGGCCGGATTCCGTAAAATTTTCGGTCTTCGTCCCGTAGAGGAATGGTGAATGATCAATGATATAACTGACACCAAAACACCATAAACGAAGATGACAACGGCGTCGTATTCCAAACTAATTGTTATCCCTGCAAGATTACTGACCCAACAAACTCCACGTCACATCTTGATGATTACTCCTTCATTTTCACTTTTCACGATCAACAACCCCGATAAACTACTGCTGTTGACATCCAGGTCATCACTCTTCAATTGGTATACTACAACGGGTAAATATATTCTTTTTTTATATATATATATATGCATTTGCCAAGCCCTAAGAATGTGAAGAAACAGATTCTTTCACATAAAACGGAGCCCGAAAGGGGTCACCCGTCGATTGCGTAATAAACATGGAGTACTTGATAGAGAGTACTTCAAGCAACATAGGAAAGCGACTCTGATTGGGTTCCAACAGACGGCTTGGGTTCTGTAAAAAAAAAAAGCAACACATAATCCCCCCAGCGACAAAAACAACAACAACAACAACATAAATGTTCCCGCCAATGCTTTCATCTCCAACTAGGCGGCCATCAACTTGCTCGGGTCTCAGGTCATGGCCAGACAGAGCCAAATGCCAGCTCCCCCTGTCCCAGTTCCTGGTGGTATAGCCGGCTACCTACTCTGCAAGATAGACAATGGATACGCAATCCTGCAGTGGTCGTTGTTCACGGTATCGACGAACAACTTGATGGCAGTCGCCTTGGAGCCCTGGATTGCCAGTGTGTACCCTTCAGCTTCCCAAAGATCTTCGTTAAGTGCAAAGTAGCGGGGGTTGTTTTCTTCCTTCTCCTGCACAACCTCTTTTGCAGTCAACAACTATCACGGTGGCAAATGCGCTCAGAACACCAGCTTGGGCGTCTTGGGCGTAGCCATAGCCATGCTGAACTTCTTCATCTCTTTGCTAGTGATGTGGGCGTCTTACTCGCATATTACCGTCGTCCTCAAGAGAAGCGCTGACCGAGTGGCTCTCAGTCTGGCTATACGCTGACCAGACCTGCTCTTGATCAACAGAACCAAGATGGAACGACACCACGCAACGGCACCGCAGTAGGCGCCACGCAGCAAAAGACAAAGGGAGAGTCCCTCCTTCGGCGAGGAGTAAACATCTTAAAGACCCTCCTGCCGATGTTGTGCTCATCATCTTTTGGCTTCCCAATCAGATAATCTTCTTGATCTTCAATCTCGGCGGACCTCTCTACATGAGCTGTTTTCTGTATTATTTCTCCGCCACCCTGGTTGCCTCAAACTCCGGCGCTAATCCATTAATTTTCGCTCGAAAATACAAACAATTCCGAGTTGCCTTCCTGAAGGCTGGCTCGTCGTGCTACAAACGGTGAATCCTTCAGCATCAACGTCATAGATATCTAACATGTTGTGCCCTGATCCCCAGGTCCATTTTTTTTTGTTCGGTTTTTTTTTAAAGGTTGCATCTTTAGTCATGTTATGCTCAGATCTTTCACATGCTTTGTAAGATTGATCTGTTTTGCGCGTGAATGGAATGTGGCCTGTGATTAACAGTCACTTAGACAGCGAATACTGCCAACTGCACGGAACAAGACAATTTCCTTGACAGTGTGACCGGGTAAACGTTTATTTGGGAATGATGCAGTGTAGGACATCGAATCCATTTAAGACATCAGAGCTCTAATTACTTAATTTTTACTGTCCTGTCGGTACTGGCGAATTTAGGGCCACCGCCGTTAGGAAACTGTTGGACCGCTCACTGATATTATTCACATCAGACACGAAATCGAGGCTGCCAGTGAAATGAGTTTTGAACCTGAACGCTGTGGATAAGGAGCCAACACAGTTAACACATTTTACTTCAATGAGCTGTGACCAATTGTACTAAATTAGGAATCATTAAATTTTCATCGTCTATTTTTGGCTTACACGCAAAATCGTGGATGGTGAGGAAATCGGCACTTTAAAGTCATCACCATACAGACTGGAAACTTGAGAAGGTGAGTTCAGGCACATTTTATTAATATTTGGATTCGCGGAACACGATATAAACATGGACAAATTGCAAATAAGGCCCATAGGGCGGCCGTTTAATGCACATACGGAACTTAGTACTGCAACTCCATTTGTTTGAGGGTTTGAGGACCTTCCGGATTTCGGATGATGTATGATGTAAACTTTTACCCTTGGCTTGCAAGACTTACAATTCAATATGTCTGTAATTTTCTGCAAATGAGATCTGAATGTGGGATCACGTAGATGGATCAACAGGTACAGCTGTCAAATGAAAGTCTTTTGTGCTTATCTAAGTCTTCATGTCAAAAGCTAAGCTTTGTGGACTTGTTAATGATAGTTAGGCACCTAATTTATACACGATTTAAATATGCATTGGAAATGGTTTGTCATCATTTGAAGTACCCTAACGCTGTATCACAGTAAAACTCATAAAAAGTAAGGTTATTACTAATAATTACTATTTAATTATATATTATTGTATGATAAAATACAGTCTATTTATGTTAAGCGATTTAATTAAGCAGTTCTATATAATTTATATGAAGCCTATACCACGGCTGTTACACAAAGGGGCTCCTCTTATGGAGAGGTATTCCTTTAAAGTTTCCGCAATTTGGGCGCCTCCTTCCCATGCATGTCATACAGCGATGTCACTGTGGACTAAATTGTGCGAGTGGCTGTGTCTGTCGGCCCGGGCTAATCAACCAACGCACCGCGACACCGACAGCCCTTCCGCCCGGTGTCTCCCGCGCAGAACACCCGTTGGCCCCCAGGCTGTGTCTGTGCTCTAACGGTCCAGCTTGTACTCTGTATTCCTCATTTCTCACAATATTATGCACCCGGGGATGTCTAGTTCTTCACATTTCATGTTGTTAAGTGTATTTGAATACTAGCTAAACAAAACAAATTCCGAGATTTACGATCACGTATTTTAAGGGCTGTCTTGATTACCTCGTGCAAAACAAGCGTCTGCCAAAGAGGGCGCTCGACCCCAACGCTTACCCAATCAAAACCGTTGCAACTGTTTTTCTTATAAACTAACAGTAATGGTGTTTCAGTAAATTATCAATTGTGCATTATGAAATATCTTCGTATAAAACAAATACTGACCATGAATGCAATAAACCCCCCAAATCTCTGCGTTCTCACCACTTCGGATTTGATCGGAATCTCCGGTTCGGCATGAGTCCATGTCACGGTTGTCCTATTTGCAAGCGCATGACACTGAATCCAACATTAGAAATCATTTCATTCAAAGTCTCCGTGTGATTGCCGGGCCCAAGGATGAAGGCGACTCGGGAATGAAGTAAAGCTTTGAAAAACAAAAACTTGTATAGTGCCGGTTCAACGGAAGGGCTCGATTGAAGAACGTTTGAACGACGCCCTCTTTTGGTGTATTGTTTCCTTTAGGCAAAGGCATATTTGTTCTTAACATGTTCCCAGTTTATATTGAAGTCGTTGAATTTGTAAATAGCAAAGTTAAAGGACGACTGTAATTAATCGTAATGCAGTCTTCTGTGTATTAAAACGATTGTAACGTAATGCGGCAATACCAGCTTTAAAACTTATTTTATTCACAATGTAACCAAAAATCAATTTCGCCGCTTTCAAAAAAAAGTTAATCTTAACGTATTATCGCTTTGTGTACAATCATCTTAAGTTTCAACATCGTTCAGAAAGCGCACACAAAGCAAGGATCATAACAACAATGTAGAAAACCAGAACTGCGTTTCCAAACATCATGCAGAAGTTGTTCCAACATAATAGAAAGGGGTTGGAGGGAAAAATGGAAAAGAAAACGATTTCAGGAAAATATAAACTTGCTGAATGGGACATAAGAGGCGTGGACAAGGAATAAATTGATAGGGGAGGGACAAGGAATGCAAAATGGAGGTTACTCCGTCAGCTACAGACAAAAAAAGAGAGACAAGGAGAGAGCGGAACAGCCGGAAAGACAGCGAGAAAACGAACCTTGCACTCAGTACACAATTGGATATTCGTTTGATTTTAGCTGATTGGTTGAGAGCAGCAAGGAGTGAATCGTAGCGTGAATAATTTACAGTCTCCAAAGACATCTCCATTGATAAAACTGATTTCTGTCTTCAATACCTCCCACTGATGAAGATAACACTGGCCATACGGTCCCACTTTTACGATCTACGGACAGAACCCATATGACCGGTGTTTGGGTAATTTTTCCCCGCTCGTTTTCTCCCAGTCTTTTCTTTTTCTTTCTTCTTCTTTTTTTTTTCGATCAGAGCAACCTGTCCGACTTAAGTCTTCCCCAATCTGCAAGCAAAACAAAGCGTCAATGTAATCTTCGTGTTTGCTAAAACAAGGCAATCAGCCTAAGTACTGGTCCCAGCGCGGCACGCGGGAGTTAGCGGAGCAAGGGCTTATGAGCCGCCGGTAAGCCGCGGCTTAGGCCCCGGGATTAGGCGAGGGTCCCCACGCGCTCGGGCGAGGGTAATGCGGCGTGAGCGCGGACCAAATTCGCCGTAATGGTAATTGAAAAAGAGTCTTTTTGGTGATGCTGTGGCGATGATGAAGAGGAAGGAGAGATGATGAGAAGACCATCAATGAGAAATAGAACCGCCGTTAGATTGAAAGGGTTCCTACAAGAAAAACCCGATTTCTCTGGATGTGGAAACTGCGTAGGGCGTCACATTGCTGTAGGCTTTTTGGTCAATCAAACATTATCTGCCAAGTCCTTAATTATTTGTCTTTCAGTTTAATTAAAATCAGTGCATTCTTTCTTTTAGTTGTTTCAGCCTGCCTTGAAAATAGCATACAGCAGACAATAACTTGGAGTAATTCTCCTTGGAGGCAATCGCAGTTTGGTGAAGTGACCGAGAAGTTGTTTTGAAATCCAGTCAGAAAGAGAACGAAACAATGTATTAAATATACGCTTTGCTCCTTAGTATATATTGAATTGAGTGAAATTGAATAAATATGTTGGCCAGGTTTATTTTTCCCCACCTGAATCAAGCAAGTTCACACAGTGAAGATGCTCTGACATAAAATGAAACGAAACAAACAGCAAAACAGAAACACAGCAAAAACCGCACTGGAAGGTCAGCCGTCCGTGATCGCGATTGGTTGAGGTACTTGTGCGCTGCGATATTCGCTTGAACAACGAGAGCTGTGTGTTAATAGGCCTAACCGACTAAAAACGAAGGCGTAGCGATGGAGATGTAAAACGCTGCGAACGCCTGGCTGAAACTTCACACCACATTGGCTAGGAGAGCCCTTCTCGTTGGAGGAGGTACTTTCCAGTTGATCGGGTGTCAAGTGGATAGAGAGATATCGAGAGTTAGACGGTGGGAAAAGAGGTGTCTCAAGGGACTAGCGGGAAGGATGCGGTGTGAGCCGGCGAAGTGAAGTCCCCTGATTTGGTCAAGTGCGCGGGGCTGCAGTAGCTGCATGCACTCGGCGCGCGATGGATGGACAGTGTACAACCTCGATCGCGTGTAGGGTCAATAGGCAAAAGATGCCCGCGTTAGCATGTAAACGAGAGCATTCCTTCACATGACAAAGCCAGCAAAAGTCCTACTCTTAATGCAACAATACTTGGCTTTCCCGAGCAATATTAAACTGTAGAGTCGTCCAATTCAATTCAATGAATACGTTTAAACACGATATTAACATCAGCTGCATTCTACGTAAAAATAATAATAATAACAACAATATAAGATAAAAATTACCGGGCCGACAGGTTGCCATGTAATTCACATTAAGTCACACTTCGTTCGCACACATTAGTGAACATGTGACGTGCGACATACTGTGTCTTTATTACAACACACTGCCTTCAACTATAAATGAAAACCAACGTCTACGTTCGACGATCATAACCTTTGGCGCTCCTGCACCCAATAAATTGAATTTCGGAGCAGTTTATTGGCAAATCCCCGATCCTTCCAAGTGAAGCCAACCAATTAGACGGTTTAATATCATTTTGAAGACGGCCTTACAAAGTTCCACAATCGATAATAGGAAAGATATTGA